AAATCTCACTTCTAACAGTATCTGGTTAGTTTAATATAAATGAAAAAAGCCAATTAACCGAAGAGTTTGGCAGTTCTTATCCCAGTTATGACAAACGCCAGTCCTCTGGCCTCCAGTAAACCCCCTCTCCTTTAAACAACTGCAGAGATTGGCTGGTTGCTGCTCAAGATGAGTCTGGAAAGTTGGAGTTTGTGCATTAAAAAAAACCTGTAGTGTCCTGAATGAATGGGGGCCAGGGCCAATAATCGGCAGCTTGGCGTCCTCCGGCCCCTCTGGCTCCTGACCTAACAGGAAGCAGCCAGCAAGAGTGCTGACTCCGGTCAGCCAATTAGAGCGCTAGGAGCATGGAGCACGCTGAGGCTAACGAGCTCCCTCTCTGTGACCCTCCTCACCTCTGCAGGACCCCGCGATGGGAAATATGAGGAGCCGGGAGCCACTTTAACCCCCCCTTCAACCTCTCTCTTTAGCCTCCTTCGTCTCCCTACCCCAATTTCTACACTCAAACCCTGCTGTGTGACCACAAGGTCTGCAAACACATGCTGCCTTTCTCCGGAGGCCCACCACATGGCTTTTTACTGCCGCACTGATGCTAAAAAGCGCCACACAGAAAAACAGTGAACGCGCACACATTCCTTGCACGGAGCTGGAGCTGTGTCACTTGCATTTCCCTGTAGTTTACTCTGGCCCTGGTCGAGGTGGACGGGCTATGGAGCCGCTGTCCAAGTCCTCTGAATAGTAAATGGGTTCCAAATTAATTGGCAGGATTTGTGAGGCAGTGAGATAATTCTGAGGCATGGTAATGAAGTGGGACGGCCGTGAACACTATGTGGCTTGGCTTTGGGCATAATTGCTACTTATTTGTACAAAACACCATCAGTAAAGAGATGATGAATCACAAAAACACCTGGTGGGTTAACCACAGCAGGTAATGAGAAATAACGGGTGGGACAGTCAGATCATGTCAGTTGGTTTCCGGGACACCGCTCAGCCACATCCAAAGCTAATGAAATAAAAAAGAGGGGGAGCCAGTAATAATCATCTACATCCAACACCCCCACCCCCTTTTCTCTCCAAGCAGAATTGGTCCTGTCATTTGGACCCTCCAAACACAGACCATATGTGGGTTCAGCCCTGGCAATCAGACTGCATTGTGGAGCAGGCGGCTGAGTTCATCAGGAAAAAATTAGCCCGCCGCTCTGCAGGCCTCGCTCCCATTGGCCAGTCACGCGGCCCGCTCCGTTTGAGGGCACCCCAGACATTCCTGCGGATAATCTTTTCCATTCCTCTGCTCAGCTCGGTGAGGACAGACCAAATCACAGCACAAGGCCTGCATTGTGAGGGCCTTTTCAAAAAGCCCTGTTTTCAATGCCGTCTCTCTTTTATGCTTTCCCTCTCTCTCACCTCATACACCACAATTCCAAAAAAGAAAAAAATGTTTTTCCCATCATGACTCCGTTTTCTCATAAAAAACACTAAATGATTGCCTTTTTGAAATGCTCCTGCGGAAAAGCGAGGTCCCGAACGCTGCGTTTCTCACAGTCCCATTCCAGTAAGTTTGTTTTTGAAAAGCCCAAACAATGTAAAACCACTGAAACCGGAGCCTGGCCACATCAGTGTGCGGCCTGGAGTTCAGCAGATCGCTGCTGAATACGGCTCCCCGGGCGAGGCTAGCAAGCCTTCCCAGAAACCTCCTGCTTGGTCACCGCTACACGCCTCGCACCTCCCACAGCAGCTTGTCATTGTGGCCGTAGCCAGCCGGCTGGAACGTCGAGATTGGAGGACAATCACACGATCTGGGGACACTGGTGGATTTATAGTAACACGTTCCATAATTAGACCCATGATTATTACAGGGTCTATAAACTTCAGACTCCAGAGCGGCTGTCCAACCTCTGCAGCTATGACTTAACAGTTACTTCACTTTCTCTACAAGTACACTCTGCTCTTGGCTGCTCAGGGAGCTCTTAACACACCACTGAATTTGTTTAACATCTCCTGTAGCAAAACTACAACAATAGAAGATAGTTTATTGCACCTTTTTCAGCACTTTCACTCCTCCTGTCCTCTCCATTTGCCCCTGGATCTGAGGTAGACAAAATAATCCACTGCGCCTCCTATCCTAGCATGCTCCAGCTCCTAAAATAGCCACAACACAAAGAAGGAAAACCTTCGACATACTTCAGCAAGACTATACTTCTAATCCAGATGCTCCTAATTGTTCAGGAAACACGTACACCCTTACTGCAGGCTGTGACAGTAAAAAATGCTGCAATCAATCAAGATAGCTCTGTAAAATACACAAAGATGGGGGTGAGGTTGGTGGAAAAAATTGTGCACCTCGCTGATCGTGCTGAAACTTGTCCGTGAAATAGTATGCCTGTGAAAGAGAGGGTAGTGGGTTCTTATCTTGACTCCACCAAGCATTAAAAACCCTTAATGTTCTAAAGAGAAAAATAAGATTTTTGGAATTACACTGTTTTCTTTTAAGCGTACAAAACAGTAAAACAGAATTGCTTCTTCATAATTGTTAGACATGTACATGTTGTTTCCCTGGAGACGTCTGAACCTGCAGCAGGGACATAATTCCCATGTGCCTCAGTGGTTGGTGTCCTGTTCTGAACTTTCACTTTGCATTTATAGAATGGTTCATGCAATAAAAAGGCAATGTAACCAGAAATACTTACACTGTCTGAATAACATATATTATATACCAGTACTATCCATTTCAATTCACTTTCCCTTTCGATTACCTCTTTCAAGGTATCAAGGCCGTGTTTCTGAAATGTCTAATACATGTTTCCAGTGACGGATGTGATCAGTGTAATCATGTCGGTAAATTTCATTACATCTTTTTTTAAACCAGGGTTCCCACACCTTCTTGTGCATCAAATTCAATGACATTTCAAAGACTTTCCAGGCCCACTTCCCTTAAATTCAAGGATCCATTACGGCAAAGTTTGAGACCCGGATAAAGATTAGTTATTGTTACAACAGTGACAATTTTTATATTGAGAACTGGCAGGTTTAACAGAAGCTTATGGACAACAATTAAAAACAGCTGATTTAATTTTAAGTAAAAAAAAACAAAATAACTGCAATTTCTATTTGTGTACATTAATATAAATTCAAGCGCTTCAAAAAGCCTTGATTTTTTTTTTTTAACCTTAAATCCTCCAACTTATGAGGATTTCAATGACCCCTAGAAACCATATTTAATCACATACTGGCAGGTAAAATTTAATGATTTCAATTATGGACCTCAAGGCAGACTTGATAAAGACAAAAAATAAACATGCATGGATTCTGTTTGCTTATCAAATGCAGATACTCTGCTTATAACCAGATTCTGAACAGAGTTATGAGACAGAGTATTGAATTTTTTTAGTTGTATTTGCACCTCTTTGCTAAAATTTTCCATGTCTTCTCTTCAATATTTGAAGTGTTTTCCCTAATTTGCCCTGGTTTAGAAAACAGATTACGAAATTTCGTGAGCACTGGAGGGCTGACTGAACAGAATATAATATAATAATATTTACTTGTACCTTTTCAAATCCAACGAACCGCTTCAACGAGCAATTACACTGATGCAGCTAAGAGCACTTCAAGTAGGGTAAAAATGAATTTAATAAAGCAGACCAGAAAGGAGTGATTAGTTTGTAGTGCTGCGCAAAATGGAACAAAGAGACAAAACTCCAAGCTAATTCAAAACAAGACAAAGAGGAAAAGCACTCGGTTTTTATTAGGAAATGCTTGTGTTCTCCAAAAAATAAATGAAGAAAAGGTCTTCTATATTTATGTGCACTAAGGCTCTGCTCAAAGACATCTTTTCAGAACTAACACAAAACATTAAAAATAAGCCTGAATGAACGCCTACATCCTCCGTGTACTGAGAGGTTCTGGTTCAAGGATAAAAATATATCCAAAAGCATCAAACTTTAAAATAAAACGGCTGCTCTCGTCGAGCTGTTTACATGTTTATGTGACTTTGTCTTGCCATACGAGTCATGCTCTCCTCACATGACAGGCAGCTCAGCTGGTCACAGCACTGACACGGTAGAGGGAGCGAGCCTTGGGGATAGAGTGATAAATGTATTAGCGGCAGCCACATGTTCTGCACAGCTTCGTCCCCTATTCATTACGCACATACAGTACCAGACAGTTTCATTCAGAATGTCCACTGATGTCAGACCCTGCTTGGGGGCGGGAGATCCGAGGTGTTTTGGAGGAAGGGGCTGGTCTCACACTGTCACTGTTGACATGTCCGTAACATGCAAAGATACCATTAAGCATGAAAAACAGACTGAACACTGCTTCCAAAAAGGCCCCCAGCCACACCTCTGCTGGAGGCACTGGCATTTACATGTGTGTTTGTCAGAGAGCAAACTGAAACTAATAAACTAAAACTATGCAACTACATACTGGTCTTTGAAAAATATTTTGATCTGCCTTTGATGTCTTGACACAGATTAAATTAAATAAGATGAGATGCACTTTTAAAAAACAGATGCTCATTTTGCTGTTGCAAATCCGACTTACCTAACAATACTACCAAAACCATTCCCTGCCTGGTGGTTCACCGAGGACAAGTGCATACTCCTAACCTGACACGCCACATTTCCAGTCATTCAAACTGTTTAGAAACAGGCAGGCACTTCAAAAAATACACTTAGCAGGTGATTACATGAGCCGTCTGTCTTTACCCATCTATCACAGAAGCCTAAGACAGTCGGGACAGGAAAAGAGCGAAGCATCTTTTCTATTAACGATGGAGCATCTATTGCAGCATCTATTCTAACCTCTTTAGAATCCACCATCTCTTATCACACACACCTAAACCACGCCCGCAGCTGCCAGTCGTTCCTCATAGGATGCTGACTGGTCTGACACAAATGCATGACTTGAAGCTAACAAGATATATTGCAAGTGCAAGGCAAACATTCTCCTATATTTCACTCAAGAAAGGACAAGTACATCAGGTCTGTTTACACAGTCAGTGTTACCTGAGGATAGGCGACGCTGGTGGAGGGGACACATGCCACTGAAACAGGAACAGGCATCGCCCGAGCGACCTCGCTGCATGGGAGGAGCCAACGAGCACTGGGGCTTCAGGAACCCTGAAATGGAAAACATGAGGAAAAATTAGACACAGAAAGAAATAGATTGGAAATATGGCGTCCAGTGGACAATGAACGGGACTCTTGTGAGCATACATCACTGGTGAAACAAAGGCCTGCAAATGCCAAAAATGGGATTATGCCTTTAGGGAATCCTTGTTTGATGCTCATTGGGTGAGGAGAGAGTTAAAAATGTATTCCTGCCAACATCGTGCCACCATCAGACCCTGCCAACCTCTCACATTTACAGTTCTGTGGCCGGCTGGCCCTCACTCTAACCTCCTCACCAGCTCACTGCTCATGTCAGCCCTGTGGCTGTACCCAGGGCGAGGGCTTCAGAGGGCGGACAGAGCCTGCAGAATACTGGGCAAAGCTGGCCCGGAGGAAGGCAAAAAGCGGCCTGGGCAGGGGACCGAGGTTACCAGCTCTGTGTGGGCAAACAGCCAGATCGGGCCGAGGTGCCTCGAGGGGCTGGACGGGGCTGTCTTACTGTCTGTCTCTGGGGGTCACAGGGGTCATTTTCAATAGGGAAGTCATTATCCGGCACAATGAAGCAACTGAGTAGGCTATACCCCCTCCAGACCAGCATTCACTCGTCACTGACATTATCCAGCAAAGAGGAAGAGCAACAAATAAACCTACAGCAGAAATGTTTTGCTGAAATATTTCTTGAATAACAGCACTCTAATATTCAACATTGGAGCAGGATGTATAAAATACGTAAAGGTGGAACCAAATGCACCATAAATCAAACCATGAATTGCAAACATGTTCCAAACTCTAATCCTGTAGCACTAACCCTAACACGAATGACCTTCCTGAATATCCCTTGAATACTGTTGGCTTAAAGTGGCATATGGGTGGCCTTTCATTTCATGATTGATAATCTGCCTCTCGCCAGAGTAGAAACTTCTGTGTGAACCTCACTTTCCTCAGTCAGAGGAGGATTCTCTCCGTCTTTATCGACTGGGTAGCTCATGCGGATCTCATTGGCATTGGCACATCTCTGCAAATCCAAACTTTATTCATTCCTCATGAGGACCTTTAGATTTCCAGCAAACATCAAGAGCAGCAGGCGGAGGACCCCCGCCCCCCCCCAATCTCTGCGTTCTGAGCTCAATAAAGCGCCTTTATTTCCACCATGAAAAACATGTCACTCCGGATGAGCTCAGAGAATGACATTTAAAACAGGCAAAGGGATATTGAATTAGTTCCCCATGATAAGCTGTCTGGGATGCTGATACGTTCTGCTTATAAGGGTGTGCAAATGTGAGTGTGTGCCATGTGTGTGTGCAGATACGTGGACGTGTGAGGAAGGAGTGGGGTGGTGGGCGGCAAATACATGTCCGATGCATCCTTCAAAGCTTTGATTAGCATTATGGATGAAGCAGGGAATGACAGGGCAAAGCAAGTCTGGACCAGCAGGAGCAAACGCAGGCAGACTGAGATCATCCTGAACATTGTGAATTAAATAAAACAGATGCGCAGGGCATTTTGACTGTCTCATTAAACTAGAAGTAAACATGTTTCTCCTCGTACGCCATATCTCAATGTTTGCTGAACAATAATGCGATTGTTGTTATCAGACGTTGGGAAAAGTCAACAGAAAACAATAGCGGCGACTCTAAAACTCTCTTTTTATGGGTATCATTAAGTGTAAAGGCGTGTTGGAAGGGCATTAGCTAAGCGTAATGACAATTTATGTTTCTATGTTTGATTCTACATAATGACAGCTTAAGAGATGACTGGCTTTGAGTCAAGACTGTGTGTGTGATTAAGTTCTGAAAATCTTTGTTGTCAATTTTAAGGGATTAGTTCACAAACACTAATAAACATGTTTTTCCTCTTAGCTTGGGTGCAATTTATCACTTGAGATCATTTCAGTCATCGACTCCAATACAAGAGCTCAATGGCGATGATGGAGATGGTGATGATGATGCTTAACAGTGTCGTACATACAAATAGCTAGTATTAATGTAATAAATGATATCCAGATCCAGAATGTCGTGAACACATTTCAAATGATGCTTCAAAAGGTACAAAAAACAATACTAATTCACATAACTGACATTTATATCTACACAAAGACTATAAATGACAGATAGACCATTTGCAATTGTCAACTATTGAAGAAATACTAATTAAATAGTCCATCTTGCCTAATTTCCCAAACGTTAAAAGACAAATAAAATCAAAATCAATCAACTATTCCGTCAGTACACCAGAATATTTAAAGATGCTTTGCTATCCTCAAGAACTTACACTAAAAAGTACTGCTCCTGCTCGAGTATCTCATTGCAGAAGGCCTTCTGCAATGAGATACTCGAGTTCTTTCAGTACTCCTGTATGAGGTCCATGAACTCTGGTTTCTTCTTGTTAGTATCTTGTAAAACTCCGCTTCAAAGTCCTGCTCAATCTATTACAATCAGCGGCATATCCCCCCACCTTTACCGAGCGAATCAATTCTCCAGTAACACAGCACATTCCTGGCTGTACAAAGGGGTTAAAGGGCAAACAATGACACATGGTATAAAGCTCTGAGCAATGTCACTGAAGATTAAGGCATTAACATATGAGCCCAGGCTCGCAGTCAAGCTGGACTTTTCCAAAATCAGGAGTAAACTGAGCAGACAGCAGCCCCCCCCCCCCCCCCAGAAAAGAGCGCAACACTGCGAGCCATCCACTGGAGTTATGTTCCCACGGGATGGAGCGATACTCAAATATGGTGTTCAAACACTCGGAATTTCACCTGAAGAAAAAGACACTTTATCCTTTTTTTATTTTCAAAGTATATACACGGATCGGTAATTTACATTTTGTCATTTTCAGAGAAATCAAACTATGAAAAATGAATCAAACATTCAGCCACTTGACAGTTGTACAAATATTTGAGAAGCTATGGATTTCAGAGGCATGTACGTGTCTCTTTCCTATTGGCAGCATAAATCATTTTCAGTGAAGGGCTTTACTTTTCAGGCCTTGAACTAAATGATGAAAGTGTGGCAGCAGCAGCTCAGACATGTACGTGCAGGTTCAGGATCCGCTGTCATGAGTGGTAAGGTTGGTACATGTCTTGTCATTAAATCTTCCCTATCGCACTGCATCGATACGTCTTGGCACGTATACTTTAGCAGGACCTTGATTACAGGAATGTTTGATCTTGCTCTTCACTTCTAAGCAGCAAGGATCTCATTGGCTTTAATAAGTGTATGCTCCAATCTTCGGGGGACAAGCTCAAACCTTCCCCCCACTTGGAGCCAATCAGCATTATCCTTACCAGTGATCATGGGGGATCAGAGCAACGTAAACACACTGGGGGTTTCCTCATTAAAGATAGGCTGCTAATGAAATCGCATCCAGCATTTACAACCTTGTGCTAATGAAGACAAGCCTTTGAGATGTTCCGCTAATGAAAGAAGGGTTTTTATTGATATAAGGCTAATAAAAGAAAGGCCTAATGACAAGGTTCTAATGAAACAAAGGTGTGTAAATTTGCCATTATAACAAACCTCACTGATAAGAGCAGAAGTATTTTCATTAACGGACGATTCTCATTTATCACAGATGCATCAGTGAAAGCGCTTTCCAACTTTACAAGATCCCACAAACTCGAGCCTTTTGAATGAAATACAATCAAGCGTTTACGAGAGTTTAAGGGATCGCAGCCCAGCTCTCTTTAAGTGTGACGATTGTTCATGTCCCGTGTTGCCAGGGTGATGAAGCCCAAGGTCAAAGATCATTGGGCCTTTAATGCATCTCCCAGGTGCAATAAAAAAAGCCTTTCCCACATGTGACTCCAGGGGCTAAGGTCCTGGTAGAGTGCGCAGAAGGACGGACCAGCAAAGCCATCAATCGCCAGGGTCACCCTTGTGAATACCATTCACCTTCAGCAGTATACTACAGCGTGCCTCAATGCTTCACAGAAGAAAAAGGAAACTTGTGTAAGACATATTCTTCACCTTTATTTGTCCAGCTTTGTTGTCCCTGCTCCTAGCTGTAATGTCTTTTTCTGTCTAAGTATGTAAAAGCGATGCAAAAAAACAGGATCATATTACTTGTGTGTTTTCACATGCTCTGCCAATAAAGCCGATCATGATTCTGACAGTTCAATACTCTCTCCCCTCCTCCTGCCCGTCCTCTGACATGACCTTGAAGACTCCAGTGTGTTCCTCAAGTGCTTGCCCACATGTCCTTGATATATCCATGACATTGAATTGGACATGACAATGATTTCAAGATAATTGTTCCACCACTGAAACACCAAGCAAAAATGCCTTCCATTTGTTTCCAGTTACTTTTGCTGCTTTTCTGCTTTAAATCATTGGACAGATTTCTTTTAACTATTCAGACACAACAAGCAATAATGAAAATAACCAGTCACAGCCCTAATCACCACTACGTCAATGCTTTCTGCAACTGCGTCGAGCACATTCTGTGCATGCGTGCAATGTCGCTTTCCTAGAAATGAAAGGCATCACGTAGAAGACTTAATGATCCTCTGATGTTTGCTTTACCCTAAAGAGAGCTAATCCCATGCAGCACCATCTCATTACACCAACAATTACCACTCTGACAGAGCCTATGTGCTGAAACAACTCGCCCTGTTCTTCACTTCAGTGAGCTCTCAGTGTGGAGCGAAGAGACACTTCAGGACCCATCAGCTGATAATCAAACACTTCTCATCTGAGCGCTGCATCCCTCTCTGATCCCGATCAACAGCATGGAGAGCGTCCAAACCTGCTCCTGAGCATATCTGCCCCATCAGCAAACTGTCTTCCCTCCCCCTCATTGATACCCATTTTGAGGAAAAGAGCCACATTTAAACATGCCTCTAAGCTCTTATTTATCTCAACCAGAACAAAGCTTGAGCAGATCTATCACCACAACAAAGCAAACCTCATGAAGATAACTGGAGGCAATACCTAGATGCTGATCATACTATTATACTTGCTGAGGAAAAACAGACTTATTTTACACACATGTAAATCCTTCTGTTGTTG